ATAATATTATGTATAATTTACATAGGTGCGTAAGTCTATTAATATACATATAAAATATTACGTGTGTTAAAATGCTACGTATATTTATTTTTTGAACAAAATATATTGTAGAGTGTATGTATAAGTATTTAAAATAAATATTACTAAATTGTAAATAGTTTTTATATATTTACTTACACATCATAGCACATCAATATCCACTAACCATCCATTATTTTACACTGTCCACGGACTTCTTTGAACGTAGCACACACGACCAAACCGCCTTACAACTAAACAAGGTTGGTAATATTGTTTTAATCGTTCGAAAAAAAATATGATGAATATTTCAGTTTTTTTTACATTTTAAATGCAATTTTACTTACAGAATGTGACGACGATTCGCCGATAGAAGCCTTGGTGAGATCACCATCGTTGCCTATACATTCTACATCCAATCACGGTTCCCCTAGCCTGTGGACTATAGTTATGAGACTACAAAACGACATAAGAACTTTAAAATTAGATGTTAAAAACCTGCAGTTCCAATTGGACGAAGAAAGACAGGATCGGACTCTTGCCATTGCAGCTTTACAATCGCGTAACATTTTTAAAGATGCGAAAGAAAGCAAATGCTAACAATGTACTTTGTATTCATGAGTATTATTATGAACTATAATAAATTAATTTTATGATATATAAATAAATAGTTTTATTGTACTATTCATTTTATATATTAACTTTTATTAACATCAGAATTTACTTAAGATTTTGAAATATTTATCTATGTATATAATAAAACTGTAGAGGTCGAATGTCTGTACATAGAAAAAAAAAATGCTAAAAACCGAGTCAGGGATCATAAGAAGACAAATAGAACAAATCCAGATTTTTTTCATTTTTTTTTCCTCTGTCTGTTTGTCTGTGTGTACGGGCATCTCCGAAATTGTTGGACCGATTTAAATGAAATTTTGCATAGTGGTACCTTATATCCCTGGTCAACATTTTAGATACTTTTCATCCCGAAAAATTAAGAAAATAATTAATTAGTTCCCGTGGGATAGTCAAAAAAACTATAGTAACTTATACAACTTAGAACACAACAACTTATGCACCTAATTTAGTAAAATTTAAATTTGGCATGCTGATACCTTATATTGCCGGTCAAACAACAGGTTACTTTTCATCCCGGAAAAGTTAACGGTTCCCATGGGATAGATCTGTTTGTGCTTTTCTAGAAGCGAACCCTAGCGAAGCGAGGGTGACTCTACTTTACGATATAACATTATTAAAAAAAATCCTTCTCATAAAATAGTACGTCAAAGTAAGAACTTATAGTTTTTTTTATAAATCTATGATTTTAGTGTCATAAGCTTAATATTATATTTTTTTGAAAAACTAAAAATTAAGTCCAAGTAATCAGTTAGTTATTTCAAACAAAATTAGTTCAATGTAAGTTCAAAATTAATAGATTTCACGTAATAACCAAATCGGAGACTATATACGAGTAAATCCTATTACGTTCGAGCGATCCTAGCCCACAATAGTACCATAATTCCGAATGCACACATAATGAAACTACTCCCGTCTTATGGCAATTCATAAAGCGAAACCGTACTAGGCAATATATAACTTGAACTATTCTAAACTACGTTGGGTTCTGGCGGCTGCCCCGATTCACTGGGTGCTCATTCAGGCGAATAGCCAGTGCACTACATGTAGGTGTAAGGCAAAGGGTAACAGAGTATTGTGGGCGAGATAAAAATGCCTTCAATTTCTTTTGGTTCACTGCAAACGACTGCCATTGCAGGTAAAAGAAAATAATAACAAATAAAGTTACAAAGTCAGCTATTGTAAAACGATTATTTATATTTTCGACTGAACATTTATTTAATCTTTGATGGAAATTTAAAGAGAATATAGGTTTTTTATTTTTCATATTTTAGTACATATTAATGTCTACGTAGATATTATACTTATTTGTACGATAATAAAGTTAATGTTTTTTCCCATACAACAGCTTCGTAAGAAGTTCGTACGTGTAGACTGTAGGTAAACAAAACGCTGACTGTACTCGTCGAGGGTGTTTATTGGGACACAAAAATGTGCTTGAAACCTCTGTAAAGGGATAGTGTTCAATTACTCCTTCATACTATTTACACCTGGACGGATTTGGATGAAATTTACTATACAAATAGACTATAGATATATTTAAAAAAAAACTGTAACATTAGTCAATACGTTTATATTTTTTATAAATAACTATAATATATATAGGTATTATAGCAGAACCCGCAGCTACGACCGCGTTCAATATACAAAAAACCGCTTTAGCTTTATGTTATACAGCATTATGTTATGTGTTTACAGTATCTATGTAATATTGTTCATACAAAAATACTAAAGTCGCGATTAAAAAATGGGCGGTGGGGGTAGGAAGGGGACACTATACTTTACGACCTATTCTTATACCTACAAAATATACAAAAAAACATTAAAATTGGTCGAACCGTTTCGGAGGAGTGCGACCACAAGCAGCGTGACACGAGATATTTATAGGATATATTAATAATATTAGACTTTTAATAGTAATTCCATCAAATAAGAAGAGAATAGCACAAGATTGAAATTTAAGCTGATTATAAACTATCGTTCATTTAGCAGTGTTCCTATTTTCATTGGACATTACATATTTGAATAGTTTCTTACACTATTTTTGTAAGAAACTACAGCGTTAAAGTTCGAAGCGTAGGTGTATATACCTAACACTCACATAGTTAGCCAAAAGAAGAAGTAGAAAAAAGTTAAATATAGACCTTTTTCCCATTAACGTGCATTTACCTTGTGAGAAAAGTCTTCCTAAAATTAGACAGTGTACGGTCCACTAACTCGTCAATTTTTAACTTCTGTTGAAAAACATCGAAATAGATAAATGCTTTTATTGATTCAATAATGATGAAAATTTGGGTCAATCGCTGCGTCCGTCGCTCACTAGATAGGACGAGGTGTATTGGGAGCAGTAGGTACGAACGACGATATTGTAAATGGTACTTTATAAATGTTTCTAAATATTCCAGCAAAGACATGATGTACTCAACGCGACGTATTAACTTTATAAATCTTTTTTGTTTATGTTACTTTATAGTATTTAATATTTTAATTGTAAATTATATTATTGAACTAGCGACTCACCCTCGCTTCGCTCGGCGCTCGAGCTCGTCCCTAGCTTGCTTCCCAATACAAAATTTTATTTTAACCCCCTTAAGGGATGATTTCCGGGACAAAAATTATCCTATGTCCTTCCCAGGGTCTCAAACTATTTTCTTACCAAATTTCATAAGAATCGGTTCAGTAGATTCAGAGATTACTTACTCCCTATAACCTCACAAACTCACAAATATATGGTATACCTACCTCTTTATAACAATAGTAGGTATAGATAAATATAATTATCTTATATTTTGACAAAACTGTCAAATTCTTTTTTAAATATTGTTGTCATGATGAAGAAACTGAACAATTGAACGTCAATCTGTGAATTCACTGTTTTAGTTTTTAACCCAAATTTTTCACTTTTCTTTTTACTGAAATAGTTTGCTCACATACATTTGACAATTGATTTTTATTTATTTAGGTAGATATAACAAATATTTTTATCACATTGCGTAACATATTTAATACACAGGTTTTATAAAGAAAATATTGGTGATCTATCTTATTGATCTATCTTATTCATAAAGTCGTTAATATTAAACTAGTGGCGTGACCCCGCTCGGCCCGGTTTGCTTTTTAGGGTTCCGTAGCCAAGTGGCTAAAGCGGAACTCTTAAAAAAAATTCGCCGTGTGTCCGTCCGTATGACACCCCTTTTCAATTCAAGGGTCAAAATCATTTAGCAGTTCCCAAACTACATGTGATGACTTACATACATATGTAATAAACTATTTAAAATTGTGTCAAATGTCTGTATCCAATTACGACAAAGCTAGTTTATTTCTATTACTTCTATTAGCTAAGAAGTAGGTACTATACGGGCGAAAAGTTTCATAGTTTTTTACGTGTTTATACGGAGGCAATCAGAGATAACAGTGGCTATTACGTACATGGGCTAGTTCCGAATGTCAACCGTCGTCTCATGTCAGCTGAAACTATAAGTATTATGTGTACTTCTTATCGCTCGCCTTCTTCGTACATATAACCTACCTCTTACAAAAAACTTTCTTTTTTACCGGATTTCATGTTCCATTATATAATATTATCTCTGGCTGTATTCTAGGCTCTCATAATTTAGGACACAGACTTTTCATTGTATTTTTCTTTTGTTGATAAATATTTTCTCTGCTGATATAATTCAGATAATAATAAAATGCTTTAGATTTATTGCAAACACCATAGTCGCATTTGTTACACATTTATTGACAACTTGATAAAGATAAACAATTAAACAAATTTTTATATAAGAATTAATTACATATAATACAAAAACAAACATTTTATATTATACATTTTGATCTATTACTTTTAAACATTGAACATAAAAAACACATTTTATAAGTAATTGTAAGTATATTCATACATATATATACATACAATCATTTGTGACTATCATATAAAATTATTGGTATTATTCTGTAAAAAATCATATAATTGGATAAACTATATAACAATGTCTTTACAAAAAGGCATTTCATTTACGAATTATGACAACATAAATTTAAACTCATCCTAAATATAATAAACGTAAAAAGTGAATATTATTATCATATTTAGATATGACGTCCATATGACTGAAAGAAAAAGATGAAAGAGTGTTACATAAACAATAATTTCTTTAGTTTAAATAAATAGCTATTAGCAAAATCCGTAGGTACTCGCGGAATTGTATCAGCATTCAAATGTAATTTTAATCCATCAAAACTAATTTACGTACGTTAGTTAATAGTTAATATAAAAAATAAAAATATTTAAACACGTTTTTTCAGTCATACAATGAGATCCACTTAGGATTCTTTGCTTTAATTCATTTGGCGTTGGTCGTAGTTTCTCGATGTCTGTTGAAGCGCCAACGGTCTCGCCAACAATATACTTGATTGCGGATGCGCGAAACGTCGGCAGCATAAGTACGGCAGCAGCCCCCAATGTACCGCACGCCCAACTCCAGCCATTCTTGAATGAATTTTTCTACTGGCTCGCATTTATCGCGGTCTATCCAACTGTAAGTAAATTATCGTGTTAAAACGCATATGGCTGTGTACATTATATGAAAATAAAAAAAAAATAACGAGTTCAATATATTGTTCTTATAATTTCTTCTTCTACTGTTGTTATACTTTGATGTGGAAATAAAATAAAAAATAGTTACATATGGATATATCCTTTGCTTTCTTTCTATAGTGTACCTATGTTAAAATAACTATTTTTACGATTCTTTTTTAATCCATATAACTAATAGATGTGTGTCGGTTTTGTTTTATTTATCAATTAAACGCATTTTGGCACAAATCAAATTCAATAATAAAATTGAAACAAACCCTATTTGAGGATTGTATTTTTCTCCGGAATTAGGATATACGATGAGAGGAATAGGAGAGTTCGGTCGATCATCATTAATTCCATTTAACAGAGTGGAGACAAATGACGGCGCACAACAGTTCACTCCAACTGCCACAAGCTGATCCGGATTTGCTTCCCAACATTTTTTTGCTACCTTTTGAAAACTCTCCCCATGTGCTATGCTTTGGTTATCCTGAAAAAAGTTATTTCAGATTAGAATAAACGCAAACTGCAGTCAATTTATTGAGAATAATTGTAGGTATATACGAGTTCATATATGAAAAATTTAAGATGGCCATATAAGAACAACCTTGACTTTCAATAAGTTTATCAACATATTATCAAAATTAAGGTTAGCAACTGTGTGATGTGTCTGAATAATAATAGTTTTTATTTCATATCATATTTGAGCTATTTAGCGCATGGATTGGGACCGTGGGGACCGGAAGCATCAGTAAAGAACTGAAGATGTTTTCGATAGAGGTGATATAACAGCCTAAGGCTGGCCAATATCTTAATCAAAAAATTAGACATCCCTTAGTAGGTGGCTTCTCTGAGGCCAACCTTTTGGGTTCGACTGCGGTGGTAATAAGTTACTCAATTTTTTATATAATATGGCGTATAAATATATAGTATATTATTTCTAAACTATTTTTTTATACATTAGGTACCCATCATAAATATAGTTAATAGAATCAATCATAATGAAAATTAAAAGATATTAAACAATTTGTTGCCATGTTTTCATATTATTGAAAGTATGACTGCGGTTATTTTTTTATCTAAAGGTCAATGTCTTAAAATAAATAATAAATAAAAATGAGTTCTTATATGTAAATCATTTGTTTATAACATTTTGTGTATTATATGTAATTAAGCTCTGATTACTATGTTTAAAGTAACTAGATGATAATGTGAAACATGATAAAATATCCCAAATGCCTATTATGTATAGGTACTGTATAGTTTTCTATTATCTGTCTGCGGCGAAGCCCAAAGGAGGGTTATGTGTTTGACCTGTATGATCCTTTGTAAACTTTTTCTTTTTAGTTCACTTTTTACGCTCACTGGTTTTTTTATATTTTTGTAAATATTTGTTACTAATGACTTAACCTCGTATAATCTAGGCACAAACAGTCTATGTGTTATTCCAAGATATAGTCTATCAGTGTACTAAATTTTATTCAAATCCGTCCAGTCGTTTCTGGGTGAAAGTGTAACAAACATACACACATGAACATACAAACTTTCGCATATATTATACTTATGTACATACCTAATAGTAATCCGATTGAACGCACTTTAAAATAATTCTTATAAAATAATAACATATGCCTACCTATTATAATTTGGTTCTTTACAACTTGTCAGATAGCTGGCTCGACAACATGCCGATCACCGATTGAAGTTAAGAGGTCAAGAAACAAAGTTCAATTTATTCCTTTGTACGAATAAATTCTGTTAACTTTCTATTGAACGATGTAGAAACTATATTTCACGTCCGAAATCATGCAAATTTAGAACTAAAAGTCGAAGCAAGAATCTAACAAAATTTCATTTGCTTGACCATGTTGTCTCTTAATTCTTTCGCATCATGTCGCTTATTAATCAGTTTATACATAAAGTAGCACTTATTTTTGTATCATTATGACAATGTACCTATTACCTGCTTGTGTAATGTTAATGATCTTTATAACGTGATAAATAGTATATGCATAGTATATTTAATGACTAAGTTGACACAACTACGTCCATATGAAGCCACGAGTAGGTTAGGTACCTATGTTAAATCAGTAACTTTTATTTTGCACTTTAAAAGATATTTTGTCGTTTATCTATACAGATAAATAAAATTGAAGTGTCTGTCTGTAATGTAAATAATAGCTTTTTAATAAATACATATAAAAGTATATACAGTAAGTATTTATAATAAAAAACAATTTTAAATTTTTTGTCTGTCTGTTTGTTGCGCTTATCTTCGAAACGGCTTTACCGATTTTGACAGAATTTTCTCTGGCAAATAGCTGATGTTATAAGGAGTAACTTAGACTACTTTTATTTAAGAAAATCTGTTAGGGTTACGCGCAAAAAAAACTGATGAAATTGCGAACAAAATCCGCGTACCTAGGGACGCACCCGACCGAAGCGAGAGTAAGTCGCTAGTAGTAGGTATATTATAATACTTAAAACTATTAATCTGAATTTATTTATTTGTTGTTTGTAAAAGTTAGTATTCATTACAGCAATTTCGTGTTTATTTAATGAATGACACGGCGATGTAATTTTCCACGCAAAATATAATTAAAAAATTCTGTACTATTTCTGTTACCATGTGTTGAAATTAGAATTGCCAAATCATTGAAGTCTATTAACGACTGTACAGATATTTTCAAAGGGCAAGAGCATAATAGTAATATATTGCGTAACAAATAAGTAAATTTTACACTATATAATTATTAATTAGGTATATTTATTACGTGACATTGACAATAAACTAAGAATTATTATACTTCTTTGAATATACTACCAGCATTCGGAACTTGTAATTTTAAGTAATAAAAATTACAAGCATAGGTATAGGTATACTACTGTATCACAATGTACTACAAAATTTTTATATGTTGTTTTGTTTTTGACCTTAAAGTAATTTACAGAATATAGATGAGAACTTGTATGTCTTGAATAGGTAACTCTATTTCCTCATTCAAATTTTACTTAGGCTATCACCCGAATCGTTACAGTTCACACTTGCATGCGTCTTTATACTGATATGGGTATATTTGAACCCGAATATACTATCTGCCGATAGCCTGTCTGTCTACAATCTGAGAAGGCTCTAAAGATATATATGTAGGTATCTATCTGAAAGCGGATGAACGCTTTTCAAGTCACGTCACGATTGGCAAAAACCAAAAATTCTTAAATCTCTTCATTTTACCTTCTATATTATTCTTCATTTTGCTCCAAATGTGTATGAACTATTCATCTAATCTTATTATTTATGTATATATGTATGTATGTATTTATTCAGCTTCCAAATTTAAATATTTTCCTTTACCGTAAGACAAGTGGTAATCATGTTGGAAATGGTCATAATGATAACATGAGAATATCAGCGGTGCGAGACCCAAGATTTGAACCCGTTTCACTCGGTTTTGCAAGCGAGCGCGCTACCACTGGGCTATCACTGCCTTTTTATTACTTATAATATTTTATTTAAAAATGAAATATGTAAAGCACAAATGAAACTCACCTTGCAACTAAAGGCCAACCAAGCTTTAACATTGGGAAATTCACGTAACAAATCACACAACATCTCCGCCTCTTCTTGACAGGGAATAGTTTCTAATGCCAATAAGTCCACTCCGGCTTCTACGAGTGCTTGAATACGGGGTCTGTGCCATTCACGCATTGTCTATAAAAAGTAAAACTATAATCTATACATATAATAAAATTGTAACTAGGTCGAATCTGTACATTAAATATTTTTTGGGAAATCTTATTGAAATAGTCATTATTATCGATACAGATGCCGAATCTATGGTTTTTAGAATTTTTGTCTGTCTGTCTGTCTGTTACCGCATCACGGAAAAACCACTGGAGGGATTTTGATGAAATTTGGTATGGTGATAGCTGGTTATCCGGGTCAACACATAGGATACTTTTTACCGCGGGAAAATATCTCATTTCTGAGAAAAAATACAAAAACTGCAATGTAAGACTATACTAATATGTAAAACCTAAGACTTTAGTTTTTTGGTTATCTGAACGCGGGCGGAGCCGCGGGCAATGCTAGTAATTACATAAATTAGGTACCTAATAGGCATTAGACTTTATTGTGCACTATTGTACTAAAAATTGCAATAGGTAGGTATACCGTATAGATAAAAAATATTAAGAAGTAGGTAGTAGTGTATAAATTTTACGTTGTTATTTTTATTAATACTGATTTAATATTATAATATTTCATAAAACTTAATACTACATAAAAATAATACTTAGGTATATTACAAAGAACACATAAATAGTACATTATAAAGATATTTTATTGACACATTTTAACCTATTGCATAATATTAAATTGATTGAAAAAGAAAACAAACCAATCGAAAATATATTTTGTACAAGTACAAACGAAAAATAATGCTATCATTCATCATATTTATTACCGAGTGCGCCAGAAGGAGGGTTATGTTTTTCGAGTGTATGAACCTATATATGTATGATATGATATTTCTTTGACACGCTCTGGCGCCTCAACGGCTTGATGGATTTTAGCTTGAGAGGTGTCATTAGATTCGTCTTAAATGTGAGAGTGACACTGGGTATATCATAATTATAAAAATTAAAATGGCCGATTTTTGGCGACATATTATGTCTTCAATAAAAATTTTTTCATTAAATCCTATCGAAGTTCGGGTATGAAAATCAAATTATATAAATGGCTTACAAACTATGTGTAAAATAGGAGTCTAATAACAAAGGCGGCAAAGTCTAGTTAAAATAATTTCAAAGAACTAATGACATTTAAAATATATTACATATTTACTGTTTTATAAAGTATTTACAATTTATTTATATAAGTATGAATTTGATACCTTTTATTTTAAGCTGTATTTCAATGCTAAAACAAGTCAGTTAACTAAGAAACTTAAATAACGCGATGGATTAATCGAATAATCGACGTTTGACATTTTAAGGGACTTTGCCGCCTTTGTTATTATACCCCTGAAATAATTATTTATTCGTAGCTTACAAAGATATATTATATGTACAACTTATATGTTTAAATGTCATTTGGAATAAGAAATGCTAAAAAACAATAAATAAAAAATATATTTACAAAAATTAAAAAAATGACTAAAAAGCGCGAAAAAGCCAACTAAAAAGGTGAAAACACGATGACGAAAAAACTTAGTTTACGCTGTCTATATAGTGAATTTTGGTCTAATTAAGCTAATTATAAATAAATTAAGTTAATTTAATGTAGGTACATATTCTGAAAATGATCTGAAAATGAAATTCTGAAAAAGTACCCGATAAATCTCATTATAAAATGGTTTCCAAAGAATGGTGAGAGTAAGGACGGAAGAAATATTTCAAATCAAAGAGCAATAAAAATACGCTTCTTTATTATTTTCAACCGATTTCCAAAAAGGAGGAGGTTCTCAATTAATCGGAAACTTTTTTTTATGTATGTTCAACTATTACCTACTCCAAGACGCCTGAACCAATTTAGTTTTTTTTTGTTTCAAAGAGTATACTTCCCAGGTATACATTTTTACCTATATAAATTTTATCGAAACCAGTAGAGCGGTTTTTAAAAAAATGAACAATCAATTATTTTTTTTAAATAAATTGTTTAATCGAATATGTTAATAAAAAAATTTCTTCTTACAAATTACCTGCTTATGAAGTCTACACTAAAAATGAAAAAATAAAAACTTAAAAAAACCGACTTCCAATCACTAAAATGTAAAAATTTTATTTACAATAGATACCCATTACCGGATTTAACTTTAGCGCCGCCCCTGGGCACTGTAAAAAAACTATTATGAAATTTTGAATAAAATGTTGAAAGTTAAAAAAAATATATAATTTTTTTGAAAAATGCAAAAAAATAATTTATAAATGATATTACTTTTTCGAAAAATGTACCTACTAATAGTTAACCTTTTATTATTATTCATTTTTTGGAAAATAAATAAAAGGCATTTTCGATAACGCGAAGAACATTTTTTTCCGCTCCCGAATTTTGTCGCCCCTAAAAATTTGCCGTCCTGGGCACTAGCCCCGAGTGCCCCTAGTGTAAATCTAGCTGTAGATACCTAATCTATTTTAAGATATTAATATCTACTTAATAGGTAAATATGTATTTTACTTATCGAAATATATTAGATTTGCTTTGCATCGGCTGGCTACGACTTCGAAAGTATCTGATTATATATTTATCTATTCTAAATGAAAGCCCCCGTTTTTAAAGTGTTTATTAAATTAATGTAGTTTGATGTTTCATTAAAAAACATTAAATTAAATTACATTAAGCTAGAGAGCTAAGTTTTTGATTCAATATAGTTTTAAGTATTCTGAACACATTTTAAAAAACTGAGGTCGCTGATACCAAGGCGCTTCAAAGAATCAGATTAAAAGTAGGTATGTTTTTGAAAATATATTTTTCGTACTCAAATAAGGTGTTTTATTTGAAAAGGTCCGTTAACTTCTTGATAAAAAATGAACAAAGTAGGTATAGTGAATTTTTATAACAACATGTGTATGTACTTACTTAAGTTACAAACTTAAGCTTCATAACATTTTACCACATAAAATTAAAGTGTTAACATTAACCCTTGACAGTGAGCCACAGGTTCAAAAAGAAATATTTACTTTCTAAAATAGTCACAAATGATTAGAATTAAAAAAAAATTATTGCAAATAGAATTTATTTGTGAAAATTAGCAAAAATAAATATACCTACTTCGATTTTTTTTTCCTTTATGTGCCTTAAATATAGAATTAATGCCAACAAAATATATTTTTAGTCTTAGAATGCTTCTAACTACATTACATAAAAAATTCCACTTTGCGATTACTAGTCTTTATAAACTAACAACAAACTTCGTTAATTTTAAGATTAGCAGAAAGGTTAATGTACCTTTTATATAAATTTTAAAGCTGCGACTTCCATTTGTAATATTATTTTCTAACTCTCACTGTTTTAGGCTATTTCGAAAGTATGCTTTTAATTCCATTTTCTGGACTCTTGCCTGGTAATGATAATACATTCATATTTTTAAATAGTTTTACGATACTTTATAAAACTATTTTATAATATCATAAATTTACCTTTCTAACTCTATCATTTACAAATTATTGGTTTGTGAACAAACTTTAACTATATTATTGTTTACAAAAAAATCTATAACTTTTATTGGAAATATTTTTTTAATTCTCCACCGTTTGTCTTTCATCACCAGTTATTTTAGTCCCACTTTGACCCTTGCCTTGGAATCAACGGACTTCATATTTGAAAATAGTTTCAGGATGCGTCAAGCTATATTATATTAAAAATTCATCCCTCTAGCTTAACGTAATAATTTAATGATGTCTAAGTTTTATGGAAATTTAAGATGATCAAAAACGTAAAAAGTTAAGCAGTAATCCTTTCATGTCAAATATTTTCCTTAAACGATTTCGACTTCAGAGTTATATTATAGCCTTGGTGGTTTGATTGGATTATAGTTGAGAACACACGTTTATTCTTATACACTTCTTTCCTGCAGTGTTATAAATTATAAAGTCATTTGAAACTAAAAGATGATTACGTAAAACTATAACTTAACATTTAATTATGTGATCAAAACAATCCTATTAAATATAGATCGGTATTGTTTCTATACAGTACATCGACATCAAGTACCAGCGCCTTTACCTACTGTTAGTAACCAGCCTGTACCTACTATATTTTATAGAATTTGATATCAGCAGAGTCAGAAACGGTCTTAATTCTTTATTCTATTAAATTCATATTTTATATGCTCCATATTAACTTTGTATATTTTCATATGTAAGCTTTAAATCTGCTGCGCGTTCATAAAAAAGAAATATGTATCATCAGAGCATGAAGACCGTAAGCTAAAGGCTGAAAATTCAGTGATTTCAGTGAAACAAAAAGACTTCGACGCTTTTATGGTCTGTATCAAAAAAGTTTTTTTGAAAGGAATGTGCCCCCAAATTCAGTTATAATGTATTATGTAACAATAGGAAAAACACTTAGGTAATTATTGATATAAATGTTTCAGGTGTAGAAAAAACGTAGCTTGAGATACTGTAATATGTATATACATTATTAGTTTCATTTTAACCGTATCAACATAAAATTGGTATAGAAAGAGCTTTTTTGTTTAGGTGTCTATGTAAAACGTAACTTCACGAACAAAAAACTTCTTATAAATTGTAACAAGATACAAATTACTAACTAATGTTAAAAGATTAGCAATTATCAAAGTAGAATAGACATGAAACGTTCGTAAGTTAGCTAGGCCCTCAGGTTTAAAATCGTATAGAATCTCATATAAGGCATAGCAGTGCTCTAACCTAGTTCTTGCTATAACACTGGCATGTCAAAGCGTTATACAGCCATACAGCCGTTCCATTTGCAGCCCGTTTGATTAACAAAATGAAAACATTGAATAATTTTATAACATATTATATTGAAAACGTTGTTTAACAATATACTCGTAGTAGCGGAAGGTAGTGTAAAAATAATTAAATTATAGAATTTATTTATTTTTATATATATTGATGCATTATCTCAATATAAAATATCTTAGGTAGATTTACTATGTATTTATTTTGGGGGTTTGGATGGTTGTTACGACAGCGACATTAATAAAGTGAACGCGGTTTTAACGCTGATTACTGATTACATACCTTTAATCAGTGTCGTGTCGTTGATTAAAATTCGAATTTATTTCAGTCGTTATATGGTATTGTAATTTCGGTAATGTCGTTATCTACCTTGGGATTGACTTGTAATATTTTAAGTTGCCTACCTAGATGATGATGATGTATGTATGTGTATTTTTATATTATAAATTTTATACCAAACTGTTTAATATTATTTAATGCAATTCATATTAAAGTTACCCCAAAATGTTTTTTTTTAATTTTATTAATGAAAAGCTGTTAGATATTTTTATATAAGGCCCTGCCCTGGTATGGAAATTTTGTGAGGAGTGAAATTATTAAAAGCGTTAACTCAAAAGCGTTCAAGAGTGTTTTTTCTGTAAAAAAAAGAAAAGCGCTCTAATCTATGCAGCTGAAAATGGATTTTATTTATAGGAGAATATTACTGCGTCTTAAGAAAACAAGATAATTCTAACCTATCGAGCAATAAAGATTTTTAATGGAAGTACTCGTACATTCGATCTTATTCGAAACTTAAAATTTTAACTATCGATTTTTTTAACAACCTATATAATTTGATAAGTTACAATTGTTTATTTTTTCAGAAACAAAAACAGTCGCAGTCTCAATATATCACCCACCAACAATAGTCAGACGAATAATATATTTTTTATACATCGGACTATCGGACGAATAGATGCATCGAATAATTAACTTTAAATTATTTATATATTTTTGTCCCGCTCTATATTTGATTTGTTTTAAAATTATACTTTTTTCTGCTTTGAAAAGTAAAATTTATAAAAGTTTTACGGTTTGTTTACTTATAATATAATATTTTTTCTGGATTTCATTAATTAAGCGTACCTAGTCAAATTTTATCGGTCGAGAAAAAAGACGATGAAAATGGAATGGGAGTTTTCATGTAGCCAATGTAAATTTTAATTTGCCGGCAACTTTACGACCCTCTTTACGATTTAGCCGACGCTTTTAACCTTTACTCCGTTGTATTGGAATTCATCTAGCCAGAGGGTTCAAAAAAAATAATAAGTATTTGAAATATTCCGTGCTTATTGAATACCAAAAGAATAACATATGTATACTTAACATGATAATGATGTTTATGTACATATAAATGTATGTATGTAGTAGGTATGTACATATGCGAGCCGATAAAATAAGAGCAGCGGTATAGGTATAATGGTATGATTACTGATAAAAGTAATTACATGTTACCCAGACGATTTAAAGCTTTATTTATGTTAAACATTTATTAAATAAACATGTTGTCGATGACTGGAAATATGTATATACATTTTATTTAAGAATAGTAATGAAACAACACAAATCGCTTAACAGAATTTAAGCATTTCCCTAATACACTAAAAATCTTATTAGAATTTTACAGTCTCATTGTCAGTTAAGAAAGCATCAATGAGCAATCGATCGGTCGACCCGAGTATCTAAAATTGTCGAGCGAGGACCAAATAGAAATAGATAAAGGCCTGATTAGAATTTAGGTTACTTTATCATTATATATTTGTTGTTTCTTTATTTTACCTGTACGTCTAAAACAATATATTACGATTTTAGCGTTATCTATACAACTATACGTACGTATACGTACTTGAACAGATGTAGTGTCTGCATAACTGCCGTCGTATTCCGATCCATCGTGCAAATGAGCACCATATGGTCCCACTGATCCCACTACTAATGGGACATCACCTATATAAAAAAATAAAAAAGCTATAAACAATTTTTACATGCGCGATATAATATATTAACCATTTCCATTTTCCACATATACATTAAGCACTCGTGAAGCGTAATTAATGCGTGCTTGCACCCGTCCCTTGTGGGACACAACCCAGGCTTTGTTAATAAAATGCAAACGATTTTGTAATTTACGTGTAGATTTTATAATAAACATGTTTAAGCTTTAGTAAGAGATTTAAAACATATGTCTTACCTGCTAGAGAGTTTTTTTTATATTAGGTATTGTGTGTATGAGAGAAATAAAATAAAATACATACCATTCTGTATATAATCTTGATATTCTTCAAGATACAATGTACGCGCTTGTTTAGCCAGATCTACGGCGCGTGTTATGAGGTCTAAAGCTTGTTCGGGGGTCACGTCTAGGTGCTCCACGAAGCCATCAACTGACGCCTGATACGTATTTGTAATAATTAAATCTGCGCCAGCTGCAAATCCACAATTTAGGCTTAGATTAATCTTAAATCATGATACATAAAGTTTTAATTCAATTTTTGAAGTTATACTTTTTTTGGTACCTTTGGAAAAAATTATGAGAGTAAAAATTTTACGATACGCGCGCACACCGACAGCCAAAAAGCCACATGATGAAGTTAGTTACATATTATCTCTTACAAACAGAGAGTTGTGACATACGGGATGAAATCTTTAGCTATTTTTATTCTGTTACGCCAAAGAAGTATAACTTCTTACGTGCGTACATACACTCGTAAGTACACACAAACTTTTATTATCTTAAATTGTAAATTAGAAATTTATTTTTTATTTATTTAAATACCAAATGCATTTGAACATAATTCAAGCAAAACTCTAGTGTAGTTTGCTTTACGAAACTAATTCCATAAATATTGTTGGAGTTCTGGCTCACTATTATTAATGATGAAAAGGGTGGGATTTGGAGACGTAAACATTTAATATTATTAAAACTTAGTATTGTTGCATGATTCCCAAGTTGGATAACCATCAGCTTAGAGAATAGAATATTCGTTGCTTTGAAGAAATTAATTATGTAATAAACAGTAGACGGGCCCCGAATGGAAACGTATTAGAGACTAGGGAGACGCGGTGATTAATGATGTTAGTGTCATGTATTCGCCGCTCGAGCAACAATCACCGAGTATAAAACGCGGGTATGTATTGCGAGTTCTCTCTTCTATGCAAATGTAAGACATTTAGTAGGTATTTACGAAGTTAAAGCGAAGGCATATTTCCTCGGCAACCTACATAGCGGCAATCATTACTAAACGTCAACGCTTAATACTTTTCCCCAGTCGCATAATTATCCTGCATTTTTAAGTTTACATTAACCAACTTTTATGCCCCGTTTTCATATTCTACGATCGTTGACATCAATTATTCTTTCAAATTGTCTGCGGTGTAATAACATGCTGACAAGGAACGGTGCCATTTTTTATATTATTCGTATCATTTCTCGTACATAGGCGGGCGATAAAGCAAGGCAGTAGGCTTTTCGCCTCCAGGGAGTTATTTGCTTGCAGACACTTTTCAGCTTTTCCTTATGAAAAGAAACGGTCCGTTTTGTGGCGAAGAAAAGCGCTTTCATAGGACGATGACACGAGACGGGGTCGCACTCTCGCCCTGATGCAAGGAAATGACAAGCTAAAAGCGACCTAACGTGTAATTCGTCAAAACACCCAAGCACGTATGTGTTACGTAGTGACAGAGCACTTGTTCCTATGTAAGTATTCAGCAGCGAGCTCATGTAATGTGTCTAGATATTCATTCGCACAACGCCTTTGTAACAGAATAACGCAATTACTTTGTACTTCACAGGCCTCGCTGAATAGCAGTATCTAACCAAATTAGAAGACATTCACAAAAGCAGTGACATATTGAATCTAAAATTTGATTGAACCTTCTTAGAAATAATTAAACAAGAACTGTATCATATGTACCATTTAGCATAGAGATAGATTATAGTCTGGAATAAAACAGAGGCTACTTTTTGTCCCGGAAAAATGTGCGGTTCCCGTAGGATAGGTTTGTTTTTGTTTTCATAGAGGCGAACCTGAGCGAAGCGAGGGTGAGCCGCTAGTTATATTATAAAGAAGAAAGATTTGCTTGTTTGTTTGAACTGAATATTTTTATGCCGGAAATTATCCCTTAAGAGGATGAAAATGGGGATGAAAGTTTGTATGGGGAAGCAACTTAGGGACGAACGCGAGCGAAGCGGAGGTGAGTCGCTTGTATATATGCTAATAAAATTTTGTAAGACATTTTTTATCATTGTTTATCTATACATATAATAAAATTCTAACTAAGTCGAATTTGTACATTAAATATTTTTTCGAAAATCTTATTGAAATAGTCATTATTCTCGATATAGGGGCCAAATCTATTGTTGTTAGAATTTTTGTCTGTCTATCTGTCTGTCTGTTACCGCATCAAAGAAAAACTACTGGAGGGATTTTGATAAAATTTGGTATGGTGATAGCTGGTTATCCAGATCAAGATATAGGATACTTTTTACCGTGGGAAAATATCTCATTTCTGAGAAAAAATACAAAAACTGCTATTTAAGAGTATACTAATATGTGAAACCTAAGAATTTGGTTTTTGGTCATCTGAACGCGGACGGAGCCGCGGGCAATGCTAGTCACTCATCTCAATAGTTCATACATCAAATATTTTATACTATTATTTTTTTCAAAATATTCACAGCAATATACACAATATACTCGTATATTATTTTCGAATGCCTACTTTAATTAGGAACGTAATATTTATTGGCTCTACAATAATTTAAGTGAGCCAATTACTATATTTATTATTTATTTTGAGATAAAAGCAAAATTATAATCGTAATTTGGTCGATGAATTATGTTATACATGTAATATATAACTAAATTTAGAACGATTTTTAGTTGGCATTATTCAAGCTCATTTGCCAGGATGTATTAAAACTTTCTCTTACCTCTAAGGAAGTCAAGATGAGTATTCACGACCTCGTTGGGGTGTGTATGCAAGAAGCGGGCGCTCCAAAGAGGGTCACCGTCAATGACATGACCTACGTGACAAGAAAGTTGCGTTGAGAATCCACCATCCAGGACAACTATATGTGGCGGCTCTAAGCTCTCTTCATTTATTGGAGTCATGGTTTGAATCTATAACAAAAAAAAAGTATCTATAAAAAGATAAACATTACAACTATAATTAATTAAAATGTTTCGGTTTAATTTATAGAATTTTGACTAACTTAACTATAAAAATTTATATACATAGACTAATTCATAATATTCGAGACGAGCGTCGTAAAAGCGCGAGCGACTCACACACGTGTTTTCCCTGCGCCGCGCTGCGTGCATTGTCAGTTGATTCACTTATCTGCGCCTCTACAACTGAGTCGATAAACATAGCAAAGTATTTACATTATACAAAAAAGAACCTTGTTGTAATTTATATACGTAAAAAAATTTAGTATCATTCAGTAGCTATACAAATTGGCTGAATATAATAAGTAACAAAGTAGTTATAATTCTATATAAAAATAAATATTTTAACTGTGTATATTATAATAAATTTTAATAAATTATAATTCAAATGACGAATGTCACTCCCCATGCGAGTTTGTTTTATACTTACATACTTGTCCCCACTCTACGTAGACCGCATAGTTTTAACATACTGTACCGGCAAAGGGATAGTAAAATCCATATCCATACTAATTATAAATGTAAGAGTGTGTTTGTTTGTCTTTCTTTCACGTCGAAACGGAATGACGGACTGGCGTGATTTTTGGAGTAAAGATAGTTGGAGAGCCGGAGAGTGACATAGGCATTTTTATCGCGGGAAATTATCCCATTCCCACGGGAAAACAAGTTATAATACAATCCAAAAATTTATTTCTGATCAGAATTACTTGAAACTTGGTATTAATGCTCTTCACTATAAATAAATAAATAAATACGTGCTTAGCATTTTTCGAAATTCATCCTATAAGGGGGTAAAATAGAGGATGAAAGTTTATATGAAACCTTTTTGGATATTTTTTTTTTGTAGTTTTAGCGCGAGTAAAGCCGCGGGTTCTTCTATTTATAATATAAAATTATTGGTGCGTATTCTAATTTTAATTTTAAATCCCTTATACAAAATTTTATTAAATATGTGAATTGTGTACCAATGTATATATATCATAATCTAATATATAAAAATCTCGTGTCGAACGATTTTAATCGATTTTTTGTATATTTGGTAGGTATGAAAATAATTCGTAAAATATTTTTTACCCTCCTACCACCACTCTCCATCTTTTAGTCGCGATTTTTGTATGAACATTATTATATAAGTACATAGTAACATAAAGCCAAAGAGTTTATTTTTTATAGATTGAACGTGGACGTAGCAGCGGGTTCTGCTAGTATATTATAAGTTTGACATAACTAAATACATCAATTATCTGTGTAATGTCCTGTCTAATTTAACGCCAAACTTCTAATACCTATGTCTACGAATTTAAAACAAATATATTACTAACATAGACGGTTTAATTTTGCCCCATTTACTTTAGTAGAGTATCTAGTAAGAATTAGACATTAACTATTGAAAAAGCTGTGAATTTTCGTTATGCCTTAGCAAGGGAGATAATTTAAAGAGAACCTACTAAGTTTGTCAAGAATAAATAAAAGTATTAAGTATTTTGTATTTTGTGTAAAGTTTTGTGACTCTACAATTAATTACACATAATTTTTCTAGCTCTTACATTTTTTGAGTTATAAAAAATATGACCTTTTTGTCCCTCATATTTATACAACTATAAGTTTTCAATACTTTTAGGACACTTGAAATTTTCTCATTCCAAATCCAAATCGGTCTACTCATTGGCAAGTGATTCACTTATCAAAAAAGCATTCCATTTTTATCTCACTCTTATTAACTATTCTCGGTTATCTACTGGGTTCACACAATGAGTTGACATTAATTTTATTTCATATGGTTTTAAAAAGACTTTGAATTAACTTCGAAGAAATACAGTTTTTTCATTAAAATTTCGATTTCAGAGCCTATTTCACTGGACTATCATACTCTTTATAACACTCTTGTAACAAATTACGAGGTCGTTCAAAAATGAAATGGGTTTTGGCAATTATAATTTCAACCAAAATTACTTAGATAGGTTATATTAGATATTGTATTTAAAAGTATAAATAACATATATGAAAAATATAATATGGTTATATTTTAAACATTTTATAAATCTTACAAATTATATTATATTTTACTAGCGACTCACCCTCGCATCGCTCGGGTTCGTCCCTAGATTGATTCCCCATACAAACTTTCATCCCCATTTTCACCCCCTCAAGGGATGATTTCCGGGATAAAAAGTATCCATTGTCCTTCCCAGGATCTCAAACTATCTTCTTACCAAATTTCATCTAAATCGGTTCATTTTCACTTTACCTCTTTATATTATTAGTATAGATTATATTGTGTATTGAAGTAAAGCTTCTTTAAAATCATTGTGATTTGAAACTCGATGAAACGAAAATGCGACACGAGAAAGAGACAATCACATAAATATATAGGATTAAACCGACGAGAGAATGAGATAGAATACATTACTCGCTATTATGACTACTTGTTACCACGATAAACGTTGTTATTGTCTGACAAATGATATATAATATTTTTTTCCGTATAATATGACATATATATGATTTTTTAGAAATAAATATATGATTGTCATATGCATGACATGCCTTATTTAATTATTAATTTGTTTTAATTTAATTGCGATGTTTGCCAAAGAAGTTTTACTTCAACCGCGCGTAAAGGTTACACGAACCCATTTTTTTGTACTCATCTATACCTAATACGATTACCTCTTATATTATGATTTATGACTATGTACACTTGTACTCCACGTACATCCATAGGTATATTATATATGTATAAGAACTTCGGTAATAAGCAACTCTCTGTTAAAGCTCTGTTAATTAGGAGCGTGAAATATTGAGATGTTCCCGAGTTTCTTCTCAGAGAGTAATGCGATCAATATCATTAAAGGTTCACAAATGACGTCGGTTTTTACCTATAATTTACACCCAGTATTAGGTACAACAAATATAGAAAATGGTGGTTAAAATCTTAAAAATAAATCTTAGTAGGTATTTATTTGTTTACAATTACAGAAAATATATTGTTGTAGCATAATAATTATATTTACGTCTAGGGTATAATAGAGAACGCAGATTAAATGATAAATACATACATACATACATATATAGTGTTGTAAAATGTACCTAAACACCAAATATTTTGTTTATTTCTACAAGTAACAATTTATACTTTACAGACCGTTATTATTGTTACCTACTTTTCGAATCATTGGCTATTTGTAGAACGCTGCTTGTGTTTTTAATTCACAATCTAAATATATATTTTTGCCAGGGACATAGAGGTGATTTTTTACATCGTACGCCATTCCAAGCGACTTCTCAAGGTTTTTCGTAACATATTTTGTCCCTTACACGCGTTACTTTAGGACACGTAGTTTTAAATGATACCATAATGTTTGTTAATTTCTAACGTTTACTGCTTTCATCGTGAATTAAAAAAGCAAAAATATTAGAAAGTCTCAATGAAACATAAATCAGTGCAAGAAAAGCTCAAGAAATATAGCTATAAAAAGATGGAAAACTTCTCGACTAAAATATCCTTTTTGGCGACAACAATATTTTAAGTGTCATGACATCCACCTGCTCGCTCGCGTCGAGTTGAGCAAAGGTAATCGCTCGTAAAAGCATTAATGGTTATTGTGTTATGATAGACAATTGATCCGGACGTACACAATCTATGTATACATCTATGTAGTGTGTACATTGTACATGTTTACATATATTTTTTTTTATATTTTCATTACTCAATTTAGAGTAGGTATATGTTACTGAGTTATGTCAGAAAGCCATTCCGTAAAATTAAATATTTATAACTCCAATTCTTTTAAATTTAAATCTTATATAGTAGTAATAGAATGCTTTTTCGTTTAAAGTTTATAAGAAGTAAATACGTAAAATGTTTTTAAAATTAATATTAAACAATGAATTTACGCTAAAGATACTTGGAGTTAATTAAGATGTAGCTAACTGACTACAACAGGTTCCGATAAATCAACATGTAGCATATTGAGATTCTCACGATATTTAATATTAAAAAGATAATATTGTAAGCAGCAAATGATTTCGTTTAACCTTGACAAATGTCGGAGATACATACATAATTAGGTTTTTAAGCGCCTCTCATGGTGTTATGATGCAACCTAAATATGAATTCGTTGTGTAATAAATGAAAACTTAATATTAATGTAATTATACTCACATTTTATACTTTATATTATACAAGCTACTATACTTTTATATTAATAGCACCGAACTAATATTACAACTCCGCCAGTTTAGATCTCATCGTAAATCGACGCGCAAACAAGCACTAAAACACGCGTATCGCACGTTGTGACTACAACTACACAACATCCACGCTGAAGCCGATCGCTAGTTTTTTAGACAAAACTTGACCGTTATAATATTTGTTTTATGCTAATGCCGGATACCTATTTATTTAATTAAGTGTTTAAACCACGTGGCTTTTAAGCTGCAGCATGTTTCAATAAAAAAATTACTTAACACTTTCTTGTATTGTTTTAATAGTTATCAATTATTTAACAGACAGAAATGCAGTTTTTTTCTATAACAAAATGAATTATATAAGATTAATCTTAAATTGTAAAAAGCTCTTCCCATATAGATTGTTATACAACAAGTTAATAATTTTACAAAATATAAAATAATTTTAATATTATAAATATTTTGTGTCACATAATGCTACACGTTACACCGTATTTTTTCTACAGTTTTAGTAGTCAGATCCACTGTGCGTTTATCAACGAGGGCTGATTGGTTAAAATCGCGCAGTTCAAAAGACGTGATAGATATTAATAGAGTTATCAGTTTGGAGCAATGGACTCGAGGCCGCTACCAAAATACGGTCCACTAAGTATACTAATAAAATTTGTACAATACAATAAGAGTTTCCTAATAGATTGCTCAGATATTTAAATGGAAAGTTGAGTAGATTGGAATACGTAATAAATTATACAATGTATAACTATAATAAATAAAACGCTAATACATGAGAGATCACAAAGACAGTCTAAACCAATAATATTTTATCTCTATATAGATATAATACAGTAGAATAATCTTATCTGCAGTTATTTTAAAACTTTTACTGCTCATTTGGTAACGTAAAGTTGTCGCTAGACTGATCAAACACACTATGTATGTATGTATTTGTATGCTAATACCGC